AACGGAGCAGAAAGCAGGGCCCTGGGGGGCCTGCAGGCAGCTGGCTGTGCCCAGCCTGCGTAGAGCTGGCCCTGTCCCGGGGCCCAGAGAGCTGGCAGGTTGGGGGGCTGCCCTGCACAGGCGCTCCTCAGTTTCAAGAGGCCTGAACCCGACGGCAAGCCCAAAAAGCAGGAGAGCATACGATTGTACTGCACCTTAGCTGGGATACCACAAAGGGCTCCATTTGCCTCGTTTCTTGCATGAACAGCAGCAAAAAAAACCCCTCTGAGTCTCACTACTTGCAGTGTCGTTTTGGCAGGTCTCATCTAGCTCCTGTACATCTATAAATAAATTATTGGTTTATAAATTGGAGCATTTGGATTGCTCTTTGGGGGCTCATTTTGCTGAATCACGTACGGACAGACATCCACAAACAGCTCCTGCCGTAAAAATCTTGCAGTCTAGCTCAATCCAAAATGCAATAAATAACTAATGAGATTGTGAAGCTTCGTAGACAAATAGAATTTTTGTTTGACGTCTTTAGGAAGTTTAAGCTTTTATATGTGTGCATTATATAAATAAATGCATGTGTGTGCACTTACATTTCAATCCATTGTCACGTCATAAATTCTTTGATTTCCTTTTCATCCGTTTCCTGTTCGCTTCTAAGGAAAACACCGATCCTGGGACCTGCAACAGTCGCCACCCGCTTGTCTGTCAAGCGAGATGCTTAATGAGCTGTGCAACACATGATCTGACCCATTAGTCTTACCTACGCCGCAGCAAAAGCAACTCACATTCCTGAAGGTTGACCACCCTCTCTTCAACACGAATCGGGGCAGAACACGCAGGACTGACCGTGAACTTTTTTGCGCACGCTGTCACCTACCACTGTGCCATAGTCTGATTTTTCTCTGTGGGAATAGGAATTTTCAGGCTTTGTACACTCATTTAATCACCGATGTCTCTAGAACTGTGTGTATTTTATGTCATGGCTGTTATCTGGCCAGTAAACAGTAGAATTGCAAGCCCAACCCATTTCATACAAGTCGGAGAGGCAACCTGAAACGATAATGAATTTCTCCCACTGTCAACAACAGCTGGATTCAAACCAGATGCTAACAGTGGAGAGGCTCTTTAGCCTGTTATGGATCTTCTAAGCCACCCAGTCTCCAGTCTTTGCCTGTCCTCACTGAAGATTATCAAAAAGGAAATCTATCCTTAAGGAAATTCTTCCTGGTTCAGTTAAGTCTGGTGGGTAACTGTACTCTGCTTTGCTTTGTCTTGACCCCAATTACTAAATACTGATAAGGATTGGGAAGTAAGTGGTTATATTATTTAACAAATGAAAGGTCAAAAGCGCTGCTATTCAGCAAGGTCAAAGGTTACCATCACTGTTATTAAACAGTTTGAAAGCTGTTTCTCCCATCCCTTGCCATCCCAGGCTCGACCAAGGAGCTGCTCAGCAGTTGGGCAGCCAGGAGGGAGCAGAGGCCCCAGTGGTCACTCAGCCGGCCACTGGCTAGGCAGCTTTCCTTAGAGACCTGCTTCAGGGAGGGAAGGTGCCATGTTCCAGCAGCGCACAGCCGCTCCCATTGGAACACAGAGCTCTCCTGCCTTTGCCCAGAACACGCACGTACCTCTGTGCCAAACAGCTTCAGCTCCTCCCAGCGCCGCCTCGTTAGAGCTGGCATCCTTTCGGGTGAGAAATCCAGCTCGGATTCGCTTCCACTCATCCTGGACAAGGTAACAAAACTCACAGAACTATTTGCAGTGTCAGAGTTAAACATCTTGAAATACATGTTAAGTTACTGCTGAGTGTACAGTGGCTCCTGTATGCTCACACAGCTTTATAAAACATTTGAAAATACTTTCAGTGATGTAGTAGGAAGTGATCTCATGTTCCTTCATGTCCTTTAATATACTTCATCTCAAGAGAAACAAAAATAGTTATTAATCCATGTCACCATCTCTGCTGGTTCAGATTAAGAAGGCTGCCCTCCAAATACTCCTGCAGGGCAGCTGTAGTACATCCATTAGGCTGACACTGCTCGCAAGTTATACTGCTGTCCACCATCCAGGTCACTTCTTCATGTGGTGGGGACAGTCTGCATTTGGTTCTGACGTAGCAAGAAATCGATAGAGGTTATTTGTCTCAGGTGTGTTGAATATGAAGTTTGATTTTCCCCCCGATCATCTCCAAAGTTCAGACTGTCTCTGGCTTCAGACACATTGTGCCTTTGAGTCACTTTCCTGTATGTAAGTCATTACTGTACAAGGCAAATAGGATAGTAAAAGATAGTAAACAAGAAAGTACAGAGATTTTCTTGTAAGGAAGGCATGATAGATGGCTGCTTGCCAGAAAGGGAGGAGATTGTGGATAACCAACAGTTGAACAAACTTCAAGAACTTCAAAACCTTGAGCTATTCTGAGCATAAAGTAAGGAACTGGAGCCAAGTAACAGTTTAATAGCAATGGAAGGGACCAGGGAACTCCACCCCTGGTATAAAACAGACATTTTCCTCTGTCTTGGAGATTGTACTAAATATGGGAAAGCTCTGGGAATACTTTGACTGCAAAGTGTTGAAAGAAAAAGGATGAGGGTCTTGCGGCTTGCCCGGGACCAGTGCTGGTTTCTCCACCAGTGAGACCTGAGCCGGCTGTGCACAGTCACGGGGAAACTCTGAGAGGAAGGCGTGAAGGTGCGAGGTGTGCCGTGGGCTGGGCTGCTCCACATCTGCAATGCCTGCAGTAGCATTCTCAATAACAAGTCAGCAAGAAATCAGACTAGTAGGTCAGGATGGGAACAGCTGCGCTGAGATGAAGAGGAAATCTCCAGGATGACTGTGACAAGCCTTCCCTGGATATTCTCTTTGGCACAATCCTGGGCAGGCAGTATGCCCAAAAGAGTGGTTATCCTGCCCAACTTGGGAAAAGACAGGGATGAGAGCCAAAGAGCTTTGTGATTTTTGTGACATGAAGTTTTCTATGTCTTTAAGGTTCATTTCATGCTTTTCATCGCACTCCTAATAGCATCTATCTTCCAGACCGCTTTTGGCACAGAGAACAGGTAAAGAGTTTACTGGAGTAAGAATCACCAATGTGCTGATTGTATCGTCTTGCCTGGGCATCACATGAGTAGCTGTGATTCTTCCAGCTGGCAGCTGAACACACACATCTGTCTTTGTGTTTTTCAGATACCCAGAGGGGTGAGATGCAGCCCCCCGACCTTGCAGCCACCATACTGCCAGTCAAACTGCCGACAGTCTGAGTGGGAGGATGCTGTTCAGGAACCCTGAAAAGGAAAAACAGCACGGTGAGAAATTGCTGTGTAAGCGTAGTCCTGACTGTGGTTCGGCTTCAGGAAGATTTAACGCGTTGTTATAGGTATTATCCACATTTCAGGCTGCCCGTCGTCCTAATGTCTTGGCACTAGGAGTTAATGTATTCACAAATAACTAATACAGGTTTTTTTAGACATCCTAAGCAAGGATATGGACTGCATGAAAGATTGCTGAATTGTTTTGGTGATTCCCTGGAAGCAGCTTGCTGATGATAATCCCTGGGCTTAGGCTGTGCAGAGCCACAACCAAGACTACGTATTGCAGAGAGGAATGATCAGCAGCCATCAGTAAGCACAGTCTTGGTGTAACAAGGTTTAATCAACTTGTCCTTGGAAAAAAGGCCAACAAGTCTGCAGCTTGCAGGTGGCTCTGGGCAGGGCCTCTCTAACCATTAAGCACAGGGGCAACAAAGACCTGGACGATGCGTGAGAAAAGCAGGTGGCAAGCTGAGGATGGGATGAGCGTTACTGGCCTACTGCCTGGGAGCCTGGAGCAGAAGCGAGGAAGTGGATCCAGGGGGGCTCTGGGATCAGAACAGTTGACAAGGCAGATCTCATTAAGTGAAGATGATGAGATTTCAGAAAACATCCTTCTTCTAGTAAACTTTGCTTTTATCTAGGCAGCGCTTATTCCAGTTGGAGACATCCGCATCTCTCCCTTTGCCAAATAGTCAGAGACACTGGCCTTCTCATGTCGCTTTCTATAGTGATTGCGATTTCCAACGCCTTTTATTTTTTCCTCAGGAAAATAGTTTCCAGTCTGAAATTTCTGCTCAGTCTCAGGCACCTGCTTAGAACCATTAACATTTAAAAATGTGCAGGAGCCAGAGACCAGCTTGCGTGGGGTGGATGGCTTCATATGACTGTCTGCACCCTCCAAGCATCAAACACCCAGAGAGATGTTTGCATCCCCGTCTCGGGGGCACTGACTCTTGTCAGCATAGCTCAGCCATCCCCTCAGCAAGACTTTTGCCTTTGTGTGGATTCGCTCTTCCCACCTGCTGCTGAATTGCTTTGTTGGAACAACCCAGCTGCGTTGTGTTGACACTTTTGTGTGGTTTCTTTTCCCAGTAATAGAGTCAAGCCAGGTAAATTATATCTGCAAAGGGGAGCAAAAGAGGGCTCCCTGCACAGCATCTGCTGCAGAGTCTGTCCCACCACATGCAGCATGTGGTCCTTGCCCAGCCAGCCTTGCAGTTACGCTAACAAAGGAGGGTTTTCCTCGTTTTTTACTGCAAGACTGAAAAATACATTCTTTGTAGTTCTGGAGAAAATGTTACTCCTCCAAAATTTCCAGCCTTCCTTTCCTGCCTGTGCTCAGTTCTGGGCAGAGACTGAAGAAATCTGAGATGACCCAGGGGAGACAACAGCAGAGACCTCTACCTAAACTGTTTGAATAGCTAATACTCTTTCCAAATACTGGCACCTGGGAATCCTGTAATGACTTGGATGGTGCTTTGGGCAGGGTGAACATCTCCTTTCAGAAATGAAGACTTGTTATTAGTATTTATTTATCTGCCTTAAATCTTGCAAGCAGTTACAAAGTAAGCCTTTCTTGTATTACATTCCTGCACCTATGCTGGATATTATGAGGCCAAAGTGTGCTCTCATTTACTCTGATATAGCAACAAGTGTAAGTCTGAATTAGGGCAGATACTTCAGATCCATGTCAGGTTTTCAAAGAGCAGAATTTGTCCTTATTCATTTAGTAAAATCTTAAACACACACTGCCCATTCTGAAGGGAATTATATAGGAAAAATTCCAAATATTAAATGGATGTGTGCTTCCAACATAGCTATTGAAAAGCTAAGTAATCATTTGTAACTGAGAGAACGGTTGTCACTGAAAGGAGTAATAGACCACCCTGTAAAATGTGGTTCATCCTCTGTGTTGGGAAATTGTTTTAATCAAATGAACTTTTATTAACTTTTTTGTATTGACAGAGCTCCGTTAGCAGAATTTTTTCCTTCTTGCCTGCTTAGAGACTCCTACATGATCTAAAGAGAGAATGCAGTCTGTGGTTTTGTGGGCATGCATGAAGACTCTTCTTAATAACCTGATCCAGAGTCATAATCCTTTGAAATCTATTTCCTACCTCTCTGCTTCTTGCTTTGATTTGTTTATCATTGTCTGCATCACTTCTAAAATCTGATTAACCCTATAAAATCATAATTTGTAGGCTTGAGCCACACAGTTCCTTGCAGACTCCAGTCTTTCTTTGCTTGATCTCTTTTCCAGTTCTCTGATCTTGAAAGAAGTGAAGGAATCTATAGCAAAAAAAGTGAACAAGTAAATCCTGCCACTTCACAGGTTTTCCTTTACATGAGCCCGGCTTACACCTGTAAACTGCAAGGGTGGAGGGTCACTCTAGGTTTGTTCAGCACCTAGCAGAATTAGTCCTCCCCTTAGTCTCATTTGTGGTCTTTAGTCTGCACAGGAATACAAGTAGTGTCACATATAATAATGATAACAATGTCTACCAGATTGCTTTCCTGCAGTAATTGTTATCTTTGCCTTTGCTTCTATCAGCCTCTACCTCAGAATTTCCCACAGCATAGTGACCTTGTCCTTGTCCAGCAAGATCTGGACATCATTGCAGATCTGAGACAGGGAAGTTTCCTCAACGACAATAAGAAAAACCACACGCCCAAGCCCCCACTGTGAGTTAGTCAATGCAACAGCACAGCACCATGCCAATGGGAAATGGGGTGGGTCTCACATGGTCGGTTGTTTGGGCTTTATAGCCAGCCACAGCGCGATTTCATGCTCACAACAACCGTTGAATCATGGAGGTGCATCTGAACCGCAAGGCCTGGGACTGTTTTCCAGCTCAGAGGCCCAGATGTGCACTGCTCTCACATCCTGCTTGCTTGTCAGGATGCAGCCTGGGTGTGTAACTGTCTGCCCTCTCTTCCCTCTTCTCCCTGGCATGCTTCCTGCTTTCCATTGGAAAGAAAACTGGGATTGAGGGCAGGGGAGCAGCTGCTGTGGTGGGCTTCTGGTTTAGGCAGCCATAGTGTCTCATAGGGTTCACCTCAGACTAACAACAACGCATTACAAAGCTCACGTGGCACTGTAGAATCACTGTGGGATGGGCTCTTGCCAACTTCTGAGCACCTGAGGTATGCAGACTTGGACTACAGCAGTGCTTTTGAACCAAATTTCCTTTTCCAGAGAACCAGCACAAGGCAACCTCAAGCACTGTTTGTTTTACAGAGCTATGGCTACCGTCAGGGATGAGTTAAGGTGTAATTGTTTTGGGAGAGAACTGTTCGGGTCAGTACTGACTGATCTGGATGTCTAGTTCTAGGACTTCAGTGGGTCTCTGTGTGTAAATGCTTGATCAGTTTCAAAATACGAAACAACTTAATGTTTCCTTTTCATTTGACCA